ATAACTATATATATATATATATATATATATATATATTATTTTTTTTATTTTTTATTTTTTTAATATATATTTATTTATTTATTTTTATATTTTTCTGGACCTATTTTTGTGGGACACACTGGTAAAAAAATGTACATTTGCGTTTGCAGCACCAGTGTGCAGCTGAACTCACATGGCTTTGTCTTTGCTGCAGAAGGAGCCTTTGGTGTCCACCGGTGCGTCTGGGCTGAAGGTTCTCTCTGTGAGGTCCACTAAACTGTGATTCCTGAACCTGATGGCTAGTTTGCGGGCTCTGAAGAGGATGCACTCTTAGATCTTCCACATCGCCGAAACGGAGATTGAGTCTGGTGAGTAACAAAATATGTCAAAATATTATTAAACATGTACATTTATTAGCTGTCAAATTTTCCTTCTCAATTATACATCTTACACCAGGCTGAGGTAGTTTTTAGCTGGGTTTTCATTTATGTATGGAATATGTCTAGATAATATTTAACTCCAAAAACAAAAATGCATTGTGACATTAAGTAGAACAAAATATAATATATTATATTATAATCATATTAAATAATAATAACTATATATATATATATATATATATATATTATTTTTTTTATTTTTTATTTTTTTAATATATATTTATTTATTTATTTTTATATTTTTCTGGACCTATTTTTGTGGGACACACTGGTAAAAAAATGTACATTTGCGTTTGCAGCACCAGTGTGCAGCTGAACTCACATGGCTTTGTCTTTGCTGCAGAAGGAGCCTTTGGTGTCCACCGGTGCGTCTGGGCTGAAGGTTCTCTCTGTGAGGTCCACTAAACTGTGATTCCTGTACCTGATGGCCAGTTTGCGGGCTCTGAAGAGGATGCAGGTCTTGCCGTTGTAAGAAACACTCAGAGGAGAATACAACAACATTCCTGGAGATTGAAGTAGCTTCCTGCGCGGAGGAGCGTGAAGCTGCCATCCGTACGGCTGAAACAAGAGCATAATATCACTGTAACATGAGCAACATACACTATCATTCTCAAGTTTGAGGTCAGTATGATGGTCTAATTATGTATAGAATTGAATAAAATGTACAATAACATCCAGGTTACACAAGTTTGGGTTTGAAAGATTTTTAAATGTTTTTGAAAGGAGTCTCTTTTGCTCACCAAGGCTGCATTTTTCTGATTAAAAATACAGGGAAAAATGTAAAATTGTGAAATATTATTACAATTTAAAATAATTATTTTCTATGTGAATATATGTTAAAATGTAATTTATTCCTGCGATGAAAAGCTGAATTTTCAGCATCATTACTCCAGTCTTCAGAGTCACATGATCCTTCAGGAATCATTCTAATATGCGACAGTTGTACAGTTGGAAAACAGTTGGAAATCATGATGAATTTTGTTTTTCAGGATTCTTTAAAGTTAAAAACAGCATTTATTTTAAATAGAAATCTTTTTTAACATAAAAAATTTATTTAATTTCACTTTTGATCAATTTAATGCATTCTTGCTGAATATAAGTATACATTTCTTTCAACAGTAGTTTACGTAAGGCTAGTTGTCATGCCTATGGGGTAAGTTGTCACAATTTAAAGAGCATTAGCTTTTAAGTTAAATCTAAACCTATAATAAACCACAAACCAGTTGACTGAACTGAAAATATGTAAACTGTAACATATTTTAAACCATTATGTAAACCAGATGGCCAGCAGACAGAATATTGTAATTAAATGTAATTAAAAACTATTTGCAGGAATAAAAGTCTCAGCGCCCCCATGTGGGCATTTATAAAAAATACTCTTGTATGTGACAACTAGCCCCGTTCTCCCCTATGCTTTGAAATACACTTAATACTCATGAAGAACAGTTTACAGAAATCATATTTGCAAAGGGAATTAGAGACTTTTGGGGCACCGTAACATCCTAAATCAGAGTGAAATTTCTGATTAAAAAATGTAGCATGTCTGTAATCTGTTTTTCCAAAGACAATGCAGTCTGTGAAGGATTAAATTGATCTGTTTTGGATGTTTTGGAGGGAAATCTGCACCCCAGCGGTGGAACAAGGTCACATTGGCTCGGCTCGTCTCACCTGCAGCGCTTCAACCGCAAACACCGAGCCGTCAGCGTCCACCCCATCTGCACAACAACACACACTCACTAAATCTGCTGAAATATTTACATTCATATCATATTTATTCAGGCAAATATGCAAAAATAAGCATGTTTCTAACGAACTGTGTGCACTGCCATTTGAGAGTTTGGGATCAGTAAGTTTTCATGTTTTTTAAAGAAGTCTCTTCTGCTCATCAAGGCTGCATTTATTTGATCAAAAATACTGAAAAAAACCCCAGTAATATTGTGAAATATGATTGCAATTTAAAATAACAGTTTTCTATTTTACTATACTTATGTATAATTCATTTCTGTGATGCGCAGCTGAATTTTCAGCATCATTACTGCAGTCTTCAGTGTCACATGATCTTCAGAAATCATTCTAATATGCTGATTTATTATCAATGTTGGAAACGCTTGTGCTGCTTAATTTTTATTTATTTATTTATTTTTTTGGAACCTGCAATACTTTTTTAAGGATTCTTTGATGAATAAAAAGTTTAAAAGAACAGCATTTATTCAAAATAGAAATCTTTTCTAACAATATAAGCCCTTACTATGGCTTTTTTTATTGATTTAAAACATGCTTTCTGAATTAAATTAATTTCTTAAAAAAAAAAAATAAAAAGAAAGGAAAAATGTACTGACTCCCAACTTTTGAATGGTAGTGTATATTGTTACAAAAAAAGCAATTTGGTGCAGATCCTGAAATTTTTATATGGACAAAAAGTGATGCAATTCTGATGCTTGTAATGTAAATATGTGAGCCTTTTATAACAATATAGCAGATGCTTACATAAAATGATATAAATATCAGTTGTCAATCTATATGTCCAAAAATATGTTTTAGTAAGATGAGATTGAAATGATCCAAACATATAATGCAATGCAATCTAAAGATGATTGCGAGGTGAAGAAATAAACGCTCCTCAGAAGATGTGAGATGTTCTGGAGGCTTGTGAAGATCATTCCTCCGCTGAGGAACAGTGAAAGTAAAGCTTCTGGAAACAAATGCTCCTCAAAAGATCCTGATGATCAGATTTGAGATGCACTGATTTTTCTAAAAAATGATTGATGGGGAATTAAGTAAAGCCGAGCTGCTTCAGTCCAGAAAGTGTTCATCATTCAGCACCAGCTGAAGCTTTAATGAAGTACACTAAAAGAGCTTTTACTGGATAAAAAAAAGTCTAAACCATCAATCAGACAACACAAGGCATGGAGTAGATTGTGTAGATTGAGTTTGATCATTTAGAGGCCTTAGAAATGTGCATATCAAATATGATACATTAGGATTTGCAAAGAACCACTGAAGAAAGAAAACAAAGTTATTATCAAACAAACTTACTTTGTTGGACTCTGATGTCTTGGGATGGTGCATCATCTGAGCTGTAAGTACGAGAATTTAATGAGTGCATTATTAAACAGATGAATACCTTCATAAACAACTGAAATCATTTATATAGTTGGATACGATCATTGGTTCTCGACTACAGATCGGATCTTCACGCGTTATGAATATGAATGAGATACAGAAGGCTTTGATGCTGTGAGTCACTGCTGGAACGTCACCGTCCGTGAAGCGAGATGAACTCGCTTTCAAGTCACTTTGCTTTTGTTCCCGCAGGATATTTCTATTGCTCAGGAGATCTCAGTTACGTTTCCTTTAAGCGTCAGCTTTGCTTCAGACGTTTCTCCTGAAATGCCTCAGGAGAAATAAATATACACACAAACGAGTCAATTAACATGCAGCAAGAGACATAAAATCACTATGGAGAGCAGAATAAGACGAGAAATGCTCGAGCTCATATTGAGGAATAGTTCACCCAAAAATGAAAATTTGCTGAAAATGCACTCACTCTCAGGCCATCCAAGATGTAGA